CTGCTGAGCCTGGGGGTGCTGCGTCTGGAGCTGCTGAGCCTGGGGTTTCTCCTGCTGCTGCGTCTCGTCGGGAGCCCCTCTCTCCACAGGAGCTGCGTGAGTGGTTCGCTCGCCGCTGGAGGCGTGCTGCTGAGTCTGGAGGTGCTGCTGGAGCTGGAGCTGGAGCTTCTTCGACCGTCGAGGGTGCGGGTGCTGCCGGTCCCGGAGCTGCTGGACCTGCGGGTCCTCCTGGAGCTGGAGCTGCTGAGGGCGTTGGTGCTGAGCCTACTACTGTTGGTCCTGCCGCTGGAGGTGTGGGTGGCGCTGGTGCTTTCGCTGAGGGTGCTGGTGCTGTCCCTGCTGAGTCTGGAGCTGCCGCGCGGCCTCGGCCGTACTTCGTTCCGCTCCTGCAGCAGGTTCTTGGTCTTTCTCCTCCAGTAGAGGGTCCACCGCCTGTCCAGTCGCAGTCCCTGCTGGAGCCTTCCTCTCCACTGCCTGCTCCCTCTCCTTACACTTGTCCTACTAGAGGTCTTGCTGAGCGTCGTGAGCCTGCGTCTCGTCCCGCGTCGCCTGTTCGTGCTGCTCGCGCTAGTGGTCGCAGTTCGCGTCAGCGTCCTCCTCCTGTCCCTGGCACGCACCGGATGTCTTTGCGTCCGTCCACTGCTCCTCTGCGTGCCCCTTTGCCTTCTCCTCCTGAGTCCTCTCTTCCTGCGCTTGCCGACCCTGAGTCGGACTCTCTTCGTGCTGCCAGTCCTACTGTCACGCGTCTGCTTGCTACTGTCGTTACTGACCCCTCTTTTGAGTCCACTGCTGCGTCTGCTCTAGTCGCTGAGATCGTCGACTTTGCTGCTCGCTGTCGTCTCGACTACGCTGCTAGTCTTGTTGCTGAGTCTGCGTCTGTCTGTCCTCCGTCCGTCGGGGGTGAGTGTGCTCTTGGCACGGACGTCCTAGAGGACAGGCAGGAGGAGTTACAGTGTCTAGCGGCTGCTTCACCTCATCTCGCGTCTGTACTGCTTGCCCCTGAGGGAGACCCGGATGCACTAGACATCCCGACTCCGCGTTCTTACGCGGAGGCCGTAGAGAGTCCCTACTCCTCTCAGTGGCAGGCAGCTATGGATGCAGAGATGGCTTCCTGGGAGTCCACAGGCACCTACGTTGACGCGGTTCCCCCTCCTGGGGCGAACATCGTCAGTGGCATGTGGATCTTCAGGGTGAAGCGGCCGCCGGGCTCTCCACCTGTCTTCAAGGCACGGTACGTTGCTCGTGGCTTCAGTCAGCGGCAGGGAGTTGACTACTTTCAGACCTTCTCTCCCACCCCGAAGATGACTACTCTTCGGGTGCTGCTGCACATAGCCGCTCAGCGCGACTACGAGCTTCACTCTCTCGACTTCAGCACTGCGTTCTTGCAGGGTAGCCTGCACGAGGAGATCTGGCTTCGCCGTCCACCTGGCTTCACTGGGACTTTCCCTCCTGGCACCCAGTGGAGCCTCCGACGGCCAGTCTACGGTCTCCGCCAGGCACCGCGTGAGTGGCACGACACACTGAGGACTACGCTTGCGGCTCTTGGGTTTGCTCCTTCTACTGCTGACCCGTCGCTGTTTCTTCGCACCGACACTTCCCTGCCGCCGTTCTACATCCTCGTGTACGTCGACGACTTGGTCTTTGCCACAGCGGACACTGCTGGACTCGCCTACGTGAAGTCCGAGCTGCTGAAGAGACACACGTGCACAGACCTGGGTGAACTGCGCAGCTACCTTGGCTTGCAGATCACTCGGGACAGAGCACGCCGCACCATTACCTTGACTCAGTCACACATGGTGCAGCAGGTCCTTCAGCGCTTCGGCTTCACGTACTCCTCGCCTCAGGCCACTCCTCTGCCTACTCGCCACTCACTCTCAACTCTGCCTTCGGATGAGTCCGTAGAGTCGAGTGGTCCGTATGCAGAGCTTGTTGGCTGCCTCATGTACCTGATGACCTGCACACGAGCTGACCTTGCATACCCTCTGAGCATTCTTGCACGCTATGTTGCTCCTGGGAGACACAGACCAGAGCACATGGCTGCAGCGAAGAGGGTATTGCGCTACCTGTGCAGTACGTCGGGCATGGGGCTAGTGCTTGGAGGGCGGAGTCCAGTGGTCCTTACCGGCCACGCGGACGCTTCTTGGGCTGACGACCAGGCTACGCAGCGGTCGTCACAGGGTTACACCTTCAGCCTTGGTTCCGGCTCTGTCTCGTGGCGGTCTACTCGCTCGTCTTCGGTTCTCGGCTCCAGTTGTGAGGCTGAGATCTACGCCGGGGCCATGGCTGCACAGGAGCTTCGCTGGCTCACCTACCTGCTGACTGACCTTGGAGAGCCACCTCGTTCTCCTCCAGTGCTGTACGTAGACAACAAGGCCATGCTGGCCTTGTGTCGAGAGCAGCGCTTGGAGCACAGAACGAAGCACATTGCTCTCCGCTACTTCCTTGCTCGTGAGCTGCAGCAGCGTGGTCAGTTGCGACTTGCGTACGTGGCCTCTGAGGCCAACACTGCTGATGTGTTCACCAAGGCACTCGCGCCTTGTGACCATCAGCGCTTTTGCACCCAGCTGGGTCTTGTGCCTGTCTTGCCTCACTTGCTCTCCTCTTGACTTCACTTGTACTGTGACATATATATATACCTGCTCTTGCTTGTCTAGTTTGATATATATGTCTGTACTCCTGCATGTGAACTGGCCTCTGGCCCTGCTCTTGTGCTCGGACTGTGTGGTGACTTTGTGATCCACCCTGAGCTTGCTTTTCTTTGCTTTGCTTGACTGGTCTTGTGACCCCTTGTTCTCCCCCACTTTGCCTATGGGGGTGTGTCAGATTATCATAGCTGATGCATGTTTGTAGGCTATAGTGGGGTAGCACATATGGGGTACAGCTTTCTAGGGTTGTATTTGTACCCAACTCTGACTTAGTCATTTCATTCCTGTTCATTGATTCTCTCATCTTAATTACTCAATAATTCAAGATTTCCTTTCAACTTGTTTTTGCTTTTCAACTTGGTTTTACTTTGATCTTAACTTTTCTTTCTAGGTGTTTTCTTTCTTTCTCCTTACCATTTACCCTCCCGCGTCTATAACTTCAATTTCAAGACAGCGATCGGCGAGCAACAGATGGGGCGGGGATTCGCGACAAGAACGGCAGGGAATGCGGCGCGCACTGTATGACGGTAATACTCTAAAAGATACTGAATCGTCACATGCTTCCCAACCTCGTCCCAGCCTGATCTGATGCCCGAAAACTGAAGCTGTCACAGTAGACCGTTGGGATCTGCGAAATTGAAGCGGCGAGAATATTACCGCAACGCCTCTAGGCGCTGATCCACGACTGTGTCCGAAATTCGAATTTTGTCCTAAATTTTCTGTCAGACTTGGGTGCCTGCCGAACAAGGCCACGAAACTTTCTTTGACCAACCGAGGGTTACGAGAAGGTTTCCTAAATCCCTCGTTAACCCCCGTTTCCAAGTTATTTGTGAGCCTCAAGAGGGGCTGAGATGAGTTACAGGTTTTTCCCCAAATTGCTGGGTGGTCCAAGCCTGATTGGGAGGTTCGGCTCAAACCTGGTACCGAGACAAAACGGATCCTGTCGATCCGCCAAGCCACACCGTGTGCCTGCCTGTACAACAGCTACTTTCACTGCCGCGAAAATAATTCGCGAGTCAACGGTCGTTGACCCTTTTTAACCCAATCCTCTCTTTCTTGCAGCCTTCCGAAATTGTGTATTCTCAGGGTGACAGGCCTACTGTGCATACTTGCTCCGCAAGTAAGACCCGCAAGTAATATCGAAGCCCATTTTGCCGCACGCCGTGCTCCTCACGCATTGTTAGAATTTCGTCCTCCTTTCCCGTCCATTTTCCACTTCCATATCCCTCACTACTAATAATTTGAGATAGATGCTAGGTGGTGACGCATTGACTACTCCGCAATCTCCTCCGCTCATCGCTTATACAGTTCTATCTCGTCTCAGCCGATATGGCGCCAACCACGCACATCAATGACCTACCTGACGACATTCTTACTAGAATCTTCTGGCAATTCGAGCAGCCCACGCCTAGAAAAGCCGCGGGCAGCGATTGCTTGTGGGACTCCCACTGCTTGAGTCCCGCCCCGAAGTACCTCTCTGCAAACCTTTCAAACGAGAATGTCATTCGTGAGGGGAAGAAGACGCCATTACCCATTCCTCCTCCCTCCGCGGACGCTCACCGTATTCTCCTCGTCGCGGCCGTGTGCCGTCGCTGGCGCGGTCTCACTCAGCGTTGCGTCTCCGCGCTTCTCGTCCGAGACAATCTCGCCGTGCCTCGCCAGGCTCTCGCGAGTGCTGTCGCTGCCTTACCGAACCTGACCCATCTCCACCTCTGCGACGGCAGCGTCGAGACTCTCGACGACGCCTTCCTCGCTCACCTCGCGTCGTCAGTTCCCAACCTCGCCATCCTCCACGTCGGACGCAGAATCGCGGCGCCTGTGGACTGCGGAAATTATTTTGACAGGGAGGTCGAGAAGTACGAGCAACCTATTACAACCGCCGGCCTGGATAATTTCTTTCAGCAAAGCACGCGGCTAGAGCAGCTTGCACTCTACGACGTCGACCCATCTGTCAAATTCCCCGCTTCCTTCTTTCTGCTGCCGCATCTGCACACTCTCGCGCTCACACATGCTTCGCCGCTCCAACTTAAAAATACCGATTTCAGGGTCTCGTTTTTTGACTCTCTCACCAGGCTGGAACGCCTGGAGATTGTAAATGATTACATGCGCCCTGACTCAGAACTGCTGACCTATCGATTCGGAGAGCTGGTACCTTGGCTCCGCGAGCTCACCCTTCGCCAGAGATTCTGGCGATGTGATGTTGGAAGCGCAGAACTGCCTACCACACTTCTAACTCTCCTCAAGAGTTTGATACTTTCAGAGTGCAACTGGCTTCAGAGCCTGCCGTGGTATGAGATTTCCCGCATGCATGCGCTGAAGACTCTCGTGCTGCACAAGCTGCCTCTCGTAGGCAGCCTACCAGACTCCCTCTGCCACCTGCCCTCTCTCGAGACATTCCTGCTCATCCAATGCGGTTCCACCAGCCATGCGCCCCTCCAGCTGCCCGAAGCTTTTTGCCGCCTCACTACGCTCCAAACTCTCGCCATTGTGAAGACGCCTCAGGTGGGGCTTCCATGGAACATTGGAGAGCTCTCAAGGCTGCACACTCTGTATTTGAATGGTCATAACCAGCGGCCGCGACTGCCACTCTCCTTCACCCAGTTGACTTCATTGACCAGGCTTGAACTGAGCTTGTGCACGATTCGCGAGCTTCCCGAGGGTTTGGGGAACCTCGCTAACCTGCAGGAGTTGCACATTCGTTCCTGCCCTCTGCTCAGGAAGCTTCCAGAGTCACTGACAAGCCTCTCGAGCCTTGAAACCCTAACGGTTGATGACTGTGTGAAGCTCGTCTCGGTTCCCAGGAGGCTAGGCAGCCTTGGGAGGCTCAAATGGCTGGAGCTTTCTGGATGCCCTAATCAGACTCAGCCTCCTACATGCCTGCCGCTCTCTCTTGAGGTCTTGAGTCTTGGAAACAGCTACCACGTGGCTGATCTGCCAGACGTCTCCGTGCTGCCTTGGCTGAGAAAGCTCTCCTTGAAGCTGGTTGGTGCGGAGGAGAGGATGGCTGTGGGCAGCAGCTTGGCGCGCGTGAAGCAGGTGGAGGTGGCGCTGCAGGAGGAGGCTGTGGAGCTGCCCTTGTCCCTTGCGCTGCTCCCCCAGCTGCACACGCTGGTCATGTGGAACGCGGGGAAGATGCAGCGGCTTCCAAGCGACATGGGATGGGCTGTGCCGCAGCTGAGGGTTCTGCAGATCCACTGTGCGCGGGAATTGAGGGAGCTGCCGGACAGCATTGGCGCTGCATCCCGCCTGCGCCAGCTGCACCTCTTTGACTGCCCCGCTCTGCACCACCTGCCCGCTTCCCTCACCCAGCTTGCATGCCTCCACCAGCTGCATGTGGAAAACACAGGCCTGCGCTGCCTTCCTTCAGGGTTTGCACAGTTGTCCAGGCTGTGCAGTCTTAGCTTGCATGATTGTGTGCGTCTGCAAGGACTGCCAGAGGATCTCACGGAACTGAAAACGTTGCGATACTTGGGCATTAGAAATTGTGGAAAGCTTATGCATGGTGGGTGGGACGGAGCACTGGAATCTTATGGGATATGTAAGATGCAAGGATTGACAGTAGAACGTGATTAGTGGTACTAATTTGCCACTGATACTGCTGCTACTGCTACCGCTACTGCTACTGCCACTCTACTGAAATCGCAACTGCCACTGCTACTGCTACTGCTACTGCCACTGCTACTGCTACTGCTACTGCTACTGCCACTGCTACTGCTACGGTACTGCCACTGCCACTGCTACTGCCACTGCCACTGCTACTGCTACTGCTACTGCCACTGCTACTGCTACTGCTATTGCTACTGCTTCTGCTACTGCTACTACTACTGCTACTGCTACTGCTGCTACTGCTACTGCTACTGCTACTGCTCCACTGCTACTGCTACTGCTACTGCTGCTCCTGCTGCTGTTCTGCCACTGCTGTTGATGCTACTGTTCCTGCTGCTACTGTTCGTGCTGCTACTGCTCTCCCTGCTGCCGCTGGGCTCGTTGTGCTGTCATCAGCCCGGTCCTCGCCTCATACCCAATGTCATCCGTGGGCAGCTCAAACCGGCACATGGGACACATGTTCCGCACGCCAAGCCACTGCCTGATGCACGCCCCATGGTACAGGTGCCTGCATGGCAGCCTCACCACCTCCTCTCCTACTTCCGCTACTTCATTGCACACGGTACAGCATGCAGCCCCACTCTCCACATCTTCCAAGAGCACGACGACAGCAGGCAAGGCAGCAACAGAAGACTGAGAAGCTGGAGGGTTTCCTTCTGGCCTCGTTATCAGAGAATGTAGAGTAGATAGAGTGTTCCTCATGTTCCGCATGGCTTAATCGAGCTCCGATTCGCCCTCCATTATTAAGATTAGTTCAACTCTGATGGACAACAACCGTCGGCGTAACTGCTGTAAATTGCTTATAATGAAGCCTCTGTCGCGAATTTCTGCTTGAACCCCATCATCTTCACCCGTGTCATGTTCGGTATCCTCCGCTCCGCGATCTTCGTCTCCACTCACCGGGTCTTGAACAGAGACCCCCGTTTCAGTCACATTGTTTCCTTGCATGTTTCGAGACAAGTTAGCCTCCACCACTTCGACTTCTTCCTCTAAAGCAATGCCTTCAGTCTGTTCAGTCATAACCATCGATACATTCGTGCCTTCGTTACAAGAACATTCACTGTCACCAACAGCTTCATTCGTCTCGGCTGCATCATTGTGAACCTCCAGCATTTCCTCCACGTGATCCTCTTCCAATGCTGGATTCGGATCCCTAGCTTCAGTCACACCAGCCAATTTCGGGTCTCCAGAAGTAAATGCCGTCTGACTGGGGAGAATCATGCCAGAAGCAGACACCCTCGTTGCTGGTCCTTCTTGTGATAGTGGCGAGACCGCTACTGCTGCTGCTCTTGCATCACCAGGCAAATTGACGCGCTCTATGCCATCATCTGCGAGTTCAACTTGTCTGATATGATTCCCACCTGCATTGAAACGCCTCAGAATCCTGTCCGCAGCTCCCAAGGTTGTCTCAATATCTGTAAACGTGTACGAGGGATCCGAGCCCCAAGGATTTGAAGCTCGAGATGCGTGAGAAGCAACATCAGAAACACGATTCTGAGTCAATCTTAGGTGACTTCGCCTGAAGAGTGCTGCAGCTTCAAATTCTGCAGCAGCTTCGGTAGCTTCCTCAACAGGATATTCTCCTCCACGATCTGTTCGTCTGGCAATGCTCCCCCCTCCAGTAAAACGCCTCAGATTTCTTTCAGAAGCCCCCAGAGGCTCATCAATTTCCATGAACGAGACGTTGGAGCTGCGAGAATTCGCGCCTGGAGAAGCGCCAGAATCAACATCAGATGTTAGTCTCTGATTCACTGAAGATAAAGAACGTCCCTGAAGTGTTACCGCAGCCTCTGATTCAGCAGCACCCATGTGCGCTCGTCGCTGCTAGTATTGAGGTCAGTAACAAATTCTGACTCTTCAGCCGGCGGGTAGCCAAAACCCGACGTAGCACACTGCAGTGAGGCCTCTTTTGACGTATCAAAGCTTTCAGAATTCGTCCCAGGAAACCAAATAAGCTACCTGAACATCGATGAAAAGCAGCGTCAGCAGCGTTTAAGTTCTCGACGAAACTGTAGTTGCAAACTGGACAAAGAAGTACGTCGAATTTAAATGGGGATGGCGTTTGGAAGCAGACGGTAAGACAACACTTGTAGCACCGAAAAAAAGGATGCAGCCGCTCTGTTTGCAAAGCTGCTTTGTCGTAGAAAATCAGATCCGCCTTATATTCTGCTAAGTAGCTATCCCGTCTTGAGCCTTGTTCATACGACGAACGGCCTTAAAAAAGATTGAATCAGCACCAGTGACGACAGGTAATGTTTTGACTGCCAGATTAGCCATGACTTATAAACCATGACGAGGAAACAACCAAGCTACTTCAGTTGCTAAAATAGGAGGTGAGAGGTTCCGGAAACCATCCTTGCAACCATGAACTAGCAAGGTGATGTTGGAGCAAGCATTCATGGTGTTTCAGACTAGCACTGATTACAGATGGCTAGGATGCCAGAAAACACCATTTGGGACCACATGGTGCATTTGCTGCTGCTGTCATCTCTGAGACGCGAAACGGTGAACTGACACGTGAGAAGGCAATGACTTGCCAAGCTTGCGAGAAGTTTACAGTATAGCTCAACCACCACAAACATTGTATATCCAGAAATATATAGTATCATATTTATTCTTACTGTACACAACAAAATATTGCTTCAGGTTACGCCAACAAAATATTGACAATGATATTAGAACGAGTCGTCTTTTGCATCATTTTCACCTTGCCAGACAGATTCCTTCAGCAAGAAAAGCAAGGCTCGTGCATTTTTTACCAGCTCCCTCTCGTCAACCCCTTTCTTGATCACCTCATCAGAATGGCCCTCTCCCACGCTAAGGGTAATCCTTGCTAGTGGTGGCAATGCACCCTCGCCCACCAGAGCAACAGCAGACAAGAATCCCCCGACCACAAGATCCCTCATCACCTTCACAGCTGCTCCTCTCGCCCGCACACTCGGTCCCTCCACCACCTCCACCAGTGCTGCTGCACTCCCTGCCACGTCAGCGATCGCCTTTCGCCCATGTGGCCAGCGTGAAAGGCAATTCAACAGGCCCATTGCATGTGCATCCATACCCTGCACTCTGCTCCCAAGCATACCTATGCCTGCCTCTGCCACCCCATGCAATATCGTATCCTCAACACACGACGGTGCATCTCCCACCAGGTATGTCAGGATGCGAGCAATATCTGCTGCCATTTCGGCAGCTGCTCCCACCTCAGCACCCACATCTTCACTCGCATCAACCGCCATCTCATAAATATTCTGTACTGTGCGAGTGTGCGGCTTCCTGAGTGCCTCCCTGTGTCCCCTGGCCAGCGACAGCAGGGCGGGCACGGCTCCACACTCCCACGCTGCATACCCGCCATTGCGATGCTCCGTGACAAGCAGCAGCAGGGCCTTGACAGCAGCAGCCTTTATTTCCATGGTTGTGGATTCACCCAAAAGCAAATCCACCAGCTGCTGTGCACCATCATGCACCAACCTCTCCTCACCCACAGTATCCTCCCCTTCACCCTCCCCCTCTGCCTCCAGTTCACCTTTCTCCCCTAGATTCACCTTTCCACAGCTGCCGCCGCCGCCGCCGCTGCTACGATCAGCACCACCACCTTCCACACTAACTCCACCAGCATCACCACCGCCAGCACTAGCACCATTTCCCCCCTCCTTCCTCCCTGCTCCAGTGCCCTTCCTCACAGCACCCACTCCCTCCAGCAGTCCGGGGAGAGGCTTCACCAGTGAGTTGCTCCTGGCGGGCAGGCTGCAGCGCTTGTGCAGGAGAGACGCGGGAGTGGGGGACGGCAGCAGGGCGTTGGAGGAGCGTGAAGACCGCAGCATCCTCGCCTGGGATCCTCCTCCTCCTCCACCCTTGGGCCTCTCCACTGAACCCCCCTCGCCCCCGTCCCGGTCGCCGATCCCGCTCCCACCTCCTCCCGCGCCCCCACTCACAGCCCTGCACTGCACACTAAGCACACCCTGCTCCATGACGCTGCCCGCGCCCTCACCCGCTCTTACCCGCCCTGCCTTGCTCGCCTGGATGTTGCTGCGGGGGCTGGGTGCGCCCGGCCTGAGCGGCCTGGCACCAGGCGATGTGGACGTCACGATGACTTGAGACGGGGAGCGCCGGTGCTGCTGCTGCTGCTGCTGTGGGTTGGAGTGCTGGTTGTTGCGGTAGGTGTGAGTGTGGTGCTGCTGGTTCTGGAGATAGTCGGAGGACGTGGATGGAGGCAGGCAGGAGGGGTGCAGGTGAGGGACGTTGGGGGGCATGGCACGCAGGGCGGATAGAGGGGCAGAAAGGCTGCGGCTGAGCATGTGCGGGGTGCAGTGGGATGGAGTCACTTTCGTACTGGCTGATAGCAATCTCCCCGCTCCGTTTCCGGTTGCTGTTGCTGCTGCTGTTGCTGCTGCTGTTGATGATCCTCTGGCCAAGTTTGTAGCACTGCCAACAAACGCTGCACCACCAACACCCCTTCCCTGATCGCCTCGTCCCGTGTTCACGGCGGCCCTTTTCCCCTGCTGCATCGGCTCAGAATCCACCACCACCACCTCCTCGTTCACCCCTCCTCCTCCTCCCTTCCCACTCTGCAGATTGCCATTAGCAGTGAGGCCGGCTTTACCCAGCACCAGCGGCCGCACTCCCCTGCCGCTGCCACCAAAACTGCTCTCGTTCGCTGCCTGGTAGTGCGAAAGCTTCTTGTCGGGTGGGGAAAGGGACAGGGATAGGGAGTGAGAGTATTTGATAGAAGGAGAGAGAGGGTCCTTAGAGAGAGGAGGGCGAATGCTCATCGGGGTGCTGATGCTGGTAGACCGAGTGTGTAGCGGCGGTGGGCGAGGGGCAGAGGATGGGAGGGAGGGGCAGGTGAGTGGAGGCGGGAGAAAGGAAGGCCTGGCAAGTGGTGGCGGCGGCCGCTGTTGCTGCTGAAGTGAACCGCTGGATAGCATTACCTTACGTAGCTGCGACTGTTTGGGCTGTTTCGATCCGTTCGGCTGCCCTGCCGGCTGCTTGTTGTCTGCCCGTAACGCTGCGGGCTGCACAGCAGCCTGGCCTCCCATCTGCCTCGTAGTCACCTGCCCTTGTGCCTTCTCCACAGCAGCTACCATCTGACTACTACCTGTCACGCAAACCCCCTGCGAGTCATCCACCTTTGGAGGAGCCTTCGATCCACCCTCTGCGTTCTTCCCGCTCACTTCCTCCTCCCTTGGGCCACCTTTCTCCTCCTCTCCTGCTTTTGCAGCAGCTTGTCCTTGTGCGCGCGGGGTGCTGCTGCTGCTGCCTGCACTTGCTGCTGCATCCGCCTGAGCTGCCATGTTAGCACCACTCCCGGCTCTGCTTGCAGCGCCGTCAGCACCAGGCGATGCCCCTGCTATGCTCCACACGCCCGGAGAGGGAGCTCCAACCTGCAGCGACAGCTGCACGTGGGACTTGCACCCGCCGCCACTGCCCATGCCACGCCCACGCCCCGCTCCCCGCCCGCCAGCGCGGCCACGAGTAGCAGCAGCAGCACGGGTGGCAGCAGGAGCTGCGGCAAGTACTCTCCCTCTCGCCCCTTCACATGGCACGCCGGATATCGAAGGATGCGTGGAGGGCAGGCAGCCTTCTGATCGCACCGGTTGGAGCTGGTTAGTAGCGGCAGCAGCAAGACGCAGAGGTTGGCGTGCGGTTGTGCTCGCCTGCTTTGATGTCTGCCCGCCTCGAGGCCCGCCTGCAGGCACAGCGGGTGTGCCACG